GTTCTGCTAAGACGTAGGTGTCATTTTTGGTTGGTTTGCTTTAACAATAGAGGGCCCGGGTTTACATGGGATTTATTCCATTTACCAGAGAAACCCGTCTACTTTTCCAAACGGCCACATATGTGCTAAAAATGACGCCGGCCCCAAAACGACTCAATGGGCAACTCGCCGGCTTCAGCATCACTTTTTGGTTGCTGATGCTTGGTGATCCCGGATTTGTCCAAAAAGAACTCTGGGGAACCCCACCAACTCTCTGTGAGAGGAGTGATTATACGCCCACCGCATGCTGTTGGGGATATCACCTGAGCTTATTTTCCCAGGGGGGCACACAGCAAATGGATGTGATCGACGGTTTGGTTCACGGGTAATTGTCCATTGCATGCCAACTGATGCCTCGGGGTTCGGTTGGGAGTGGCTTTTGGGGTTCGATGGCTCCGGCAGTTGGTCTGAACGGTTTGTTTTTTAATTCAAAGCTCGGAGTTGAGGCCGAGACCGGAAAGCGAAAGGGGAAACATAATGCAGGCAGATGTTTTGGGGTGTGTGCTATGGGTGTTTCTCAAAGTAGGGGAACCCATGTGTTGGGGATGGTTTTGAAGGGAAACCAACAGGAAACCGCCACCTAGAGGAATTGGTCCCTGATTTTGAGAGACACCCACATCTATGATCAAATTGGGTGAGCTTGAGCATCGTGAACGGACCATATTACTGGGTGAATTATAACAACCTCACACGACCTCACCCCAAATGGTGGCTTATGTGGGGAATAGCCCCCCAACCACCTTATTTCAGGTTGGTGAAATATCATAATTCACCCAGATATTACAAAACAAGTCTACTTGGATCTACATTGTTGCTGGAAGGGTGCTGTGGGATACTTTGAAACCAAATTCAGTCACTTTCATAGAAGAATGGTGTTTGTAGGTATTTGGCCCCTTGCACTCAAGTTTAGTTGGGGAGGACCAGAAAGAGGCCCAGTCCAATTCCCACAACCAAGCAAAATGGGACTTGCTCAAGGCAAGCCTTGGACGATTTCTGCTGTGACGTGCCTTTTGCCCTGTGCCAGTTATGTGGACACGAACAGCCCGACGAGGACCAGGGCAGCGCCGGGGAGAGTGCGGATCCGACTGTGGCAGATGGTTGCGGATCGTCTCCACCTGGACCCTCAAACTACCCAGGAAGATGGTTTCTTGCTATTGGTATTTTGAGGGTCGTCGTTTTGGTGCACCAAACAAATGTTTTTGGGAAGTCGGACATGGGTATGTGTCAAGAAAGGGGGACCCCGAACATGATTGCGGTCGTTCTGGTTTCACTTTGAACTAGCCGCAAAACAAACGGGTATCCTCAACAGAGACACGTGTGGACGAGCTCCAAGTTTCCCAAGTCCTTTGCGGTTGATGTAAATACCAACATCATAGTCATTGAATCATACTGGACATTTTGACAGCTCATACGGGATTTTGTTTGACGACACGCAGACATGTCAAAAGAGGGGTTCATCCGACAGGGGACTGCACCTTTGTGAGTCGATAATTGCCAGCCATCCCCTCTCAACAAAACAAAGGATTTGCGGGGTGAGCCCTGGAATTCCGTTTCTGGCGGACTGGACAAATGTGTGTGTGTATATATATATATATATTTGTGTGTGTGTGTGTTTTTTTTTGGGGGGGACCTCACCCCCCCCCCCCCTAAGCCTTGGATTCTTCCAGGAGTATTGCATCGCCTGCGCCTCCGATCAGGCTGGACTTCACTGGACTTGGTGGCTCACCAGTTTTAGACCAACCTCCTGGGTTTTGGCTTGGACGGAAGAGACGAGCAAAGCATAGGTGTCCTTTTTAGGTTCGTTTGGTTGGAAATAGACGGCGCTGGTATGGATTGGTTTTGTTCCATTTGCCAAAGCCATCTATTTTACAAAAAGGACACCTATGGAGCAAATGGTTGTCAAGGGTCAAAAACTGGTGCCTTTCGCTTCAAAAGGCCTATCTCAAGGAGGCCTCTGGAAAGAGGCCTTGATTTGTCAAGTGGTTGCAAACCCGGAAGTATCCATGGTAAGTATCCACGCCTTGTCAAGGCTTTCGGCCCCATATTCCTGGCCCCCAAAAAACATGGTTTTACCTTGGCTGCATATAGTGCGTCACTCACAATATCGCTACATGTTGTCCTTTGTGCTCTCAATATCGGACATTTGTACCTCGCACTGCCTTGCTCCAAGGCATTTCTGCAAACGGACGAACTCCAGTGGAGTTACGGTTCCATGCGAGGTGTCGGCACAGTGTCGGCGACCCCGCCTTTTGTGCGGAACAAACGCCACGGCTGCAGTTGGCCAAGCAAAAGGTTGGGTTTTGGGAGTAGCGTCATGTGGTCCGGCTGAGTTTTTTTGCATCTGCGCCTTTTTGAGGCCTTTCCACGCCTTTTTGAGGCCTTTCCACGGGTCCACGCTTTGTCCACGGTCCAGCTGGTGTTCTGAGTCACTTCACCACAGCGTTTGCTGCAGGCAAACATTTGCACATCGTGTTGCTATCCTGGCTCCAGTTTCTCAAGCAGATATCTACGAAGGGGGGCTTCAAAGTGAAGAGCGTCTCAAGCAAGATAGGAAGGTTGCAGCTAGGATTCTGTTCAGGAGAGTATTTTGGCTTTGGTTACCCCTCGAGACCCAGCTGAGGCATGCGCAAATGCATGCATTCAACAACATGCCAAATCCCTTCAACATATGTGCCAGACACTGCCCGAGGTGGCCACCCCCGACTCAAGGCCTTTGCCCTTCCTTTTCAAGGCCTTGCCCCTGCCTTTTAAGGCCTCTGCGCACCCGATTCAAGGCTTCTGGAACAACACAAGGCCTAGGCCTGACAAAAGGAGGCCTTGGAATCCCAGGAAAGTTTGTCTACTGATTTTCCTTGTCAGGAACCAATGTCTACGTCTCCAGCACTTCGGAGCAAGCGGATGCGGTTTGCCAAACGGGAATCTGAACCACTAGAGTATCCAAAACACCTGCTTCTAAACTTGCACTATTTCATTTAGTCCCTGGTTTGCTTGTATTTGTCTGGAGCAAGTACTGTTTTGGTGTTTGTTTGAGGTTCCCAGAAGGTGTAGGTGCGGCTGGAAGGACTGGGTAGGTGAAGCTGTTGAGAGCAACGCGCGCTTCTGTGCCAGTTACGCAGTGGACCCTACCAGCCCATCAAGGACAGGGCACGGGCCGACAGAGTTCGATAATTGCTGTGCCAGTTGTGACAGTTTACCTGGCCCCTCAGACAACCCGCAGAAATGCATCTCAAAATCATTGCTTTGCTTTCCTTGTTTAATCTACTAGGATCTAGGGTATTAGGACCTAGGGTCTAGGGTCTAGTCTAGGGTTTGTGGCGATTGGCGATCTGTAGGGCTGGGTCTGGTGTGGATAGCTTGAACCTCCAGAAAACGACTTTGTGCGGACGGGTACCGGTTGTTGGACTCTTTGGCCATTTGTTGGGGGGGGGGAGAGTTCTTGCAAGGGTGGGGATGCTGATGCGGGTGAGGGTGGCGGCTGCGTTTGCGACTTGGGTTTCGGGTTTTGACGCTCCGGAAATGCGACTCTTGTGGTATATAATATCGTCAGGCATTTGTGTGGGTGTGGCGAGACCCCCAGCGGAGACAGACCCATATGGCTGTCGGTCAAAACCAATGGTACCATTTTGGGGTAGGTGCACCACCCATTTTAGTCTATTTTAGTGGGGATTGGGATGTTCACTGGGTATGATTTGGCTTTTGACCCATGGCAATATGCTTAATTCTTGGCTGTGGGACCCCCTTTGTGGCAGCGGCAATGAATGACATGAGCCTAATTGTTTAACAGGGCTTCTTAAAAGATACATTTTGCCCATGTGAAACATGGCCTTTTCCACCGAAACAAAGGGAAACCCCCCATTTACAAGGCAATGTTCAGGTGTATAATGTAAGGATCCCTGTTTAATCCCTTGTATCACCCAACAAACCATGGTTCTCAGAGAGATCTCCTTTTGAGAGACTCTCTTTGTTTTTCTGTGAAATCGCGGAGGTCAGCCAGCTTTCGATCCGATCTCGCGCACGTTCGGCTTGCAGGAGTATCGCAGCACCCGCCACGACCAGGTGTGGCTTTATTGGACTATGACTGCATGTGTGCACCTCTGAAACACCCTGCGGAATTGCACCATCACCTTGCGCCATATCCAATTTTGAAGGTAGCTGGAGGGCCCAATTTGTTTGAGTTGAGGCATGTGAGGGGACCGCAGACTCACTTTGGAAACCTCAAGTACTGGTTGATTGCTTAGCAAAGCAGTGTAATACAAGGGGCTGAATAAATACGATTATCTTTTTTTCCATTGTTATGACGTTGTTTTAGGTTCATGGTGCCCCAATCACCCATTCTAATTATTAGCCCCTCATATATATTACACTAAAGAGCTGCCTGTGTCGCGTGTTCAGCACTGACCCGAATCCTTGCCAGTCATGTGCTCAGCAGCAGTCCGACGAGGACCCGACTGCCGTGTTGGGACTTTCTGGGGCCTGGTATGCACAGGATCTGAACGCAGCGTTTCTTTTTGCTCGAGGGAACCCTTTTTCTGGTGGTTCAAAGACACAATGTTGCACCTGGTTTAATATCGGTAGTCTGAATTATGTCAAGTTTCCCCGGCTTAAACAAGACCCCCCCCACTGTTTTGGTACCATGATTTATGTCAAGTTCGAACCCCAAAAAATCCCGTTGAAAAAAATCTGACTCAAAATTCGCAATATGGGCAACTGATTTCTCCTCTCAGCTTCCTGGCTCAGTCCTAGTAGTGAAACTCTGCAAATCTTGGGTTGCTCAAATTCCTCACAATTCCTGATTCGATCCTAAGCCCCAACCATCAAAATTATTTACTTAAATCCATCCAAAAACAAGACCCAAACAGTCCTGCAAAGGGGGTTGCCCACAAGGGGCCTGATCCTCTTTAAGGGGCACTGTTTGGGTACCATGTTTAATGTCTAGTCTTAGGCGTGGGTGGGTTAGGAATCTCCAGGTCACATCTTAGCCTCTTGCTTTTAAAAGGGGCTCCAAATCTAAAAGCTTAGCAAGGGACCAGGCCAAGACCTGAGCCTAAGAATTCCTGATTTGATCCCAAGCCCCAACCATCAAAATTATTTACTCAATCCATCCAAAAACAAGCCCCAAACAGTCCTGCAAAGGGGGTTGCCCACAAGGGGGGGTTGGTCCTCTTTATGGGGCACTGTTTGGGTACCATGTTTAATGTCCAGTCTTAGGGTGGCAACCGAAAAGGAAGTGCTGGCAATACTAAACCAAGTAGTGGCAGCCCAAAAGGAAGTGCTGGCAATACTAAACTAAGTAGTGGCAATACCAAAGCAATACTCAAGTCACCCAAGCCCCCCGCCAAATCCGTATTCAGGATCCCCAGGACTGTTTTGAGGGGGCCCTAGAGTAAACAAGGTCCATCATTAAAAGGAACAAAAGGCCTGATTGGAGCTGAAACCTGGCATCAGACAGGCAAAGAATAAGTCAAACTGAGAGAGGGGACAGGTTGAAAGGCCTTCACAAGGCAGGGCTCCGCGCGCACTGGCCTGGCCCCAAGGCCCGCCAAGGGCCACTCTGAGATTCTATGCCCAAGCATTTGACTGGGGTAGACTTAGGAGACATGTTACATTTTACCAGTGACTCCAAGTGGGGCAAACAAAAACATACATTCTATAACTGGGCCTAACTCTAATGATGTTGAAAGCATGGCCGTTCTGATTCGCAGGAACGACGCAGCGGTCCCAGACGTGACCGCCGTGACCAGGCATGTGTGTTTTTCTCTTCGCGCGCAGCCGGAACGTGTTGTCGTCGTCTACACCGCAACTCAATCAGATCGATTGATCACTGCCAGTGTTGTGTCGAGAATTGAGCCATCCGCTGCCAGTTCGGCGTTCGCCAAAAGCCCGCCGAGGACGCCGTGCTTTTTCCGCGCTTGTGTTCAAACACACAGGATTTTCGCAGCAAGACTCAGACCGGCCGAGCAATTTTTTGCAAGTTCAGCGACAAGTAATCACCAGCTAAGCTTTCAACCATGAAGGACGTGCCAGTTTAACTTAACACGTGCTAAGTAAGACATCACATTAGCTGACAAACATGAGGCAAGGCAAGGGCTACGTAAGAGTCGGACAGTGGAACATTTGAAAGCATGGACGTTCTGATTCGCAGGCGAGTCGCAGCAACGGTCCCAGACGTGACCGTCGTGACCAGGCATGTTTTTTTTCTTCTTCGCACGCAGCCGAAACATGTTGTTGTCGTCTACACCGCAACTCAATCAGATCCGGCTGTGGGTCAAGATTGGGTACCCAAAATGGTCTTAAGAAATGGAAACAAAGACTACAACCACGTAACCCTAGCTCATTCTTTTTTGAGCCACACCCATCCATTGATCACTGCCAGCGATGTGTCGAGAATTGAGCCATCCATGCCATCCGCTGCCAGTTCGGCGGTCGCCAAAAGCCCGCCGAGGACGCCGTGCTTTTTCCGCGCTTGTGTTCAAACCCGCAGGATGTTCGCAGCAAGACTCAGACCGGCCGAGCTGATTTTCGCAAGTGGGCAGTTAAGCAGTCAGCCACCAAGGGCGTATCATTTAGGTATGCGCCAAGTCGGGGCGCAACATCACATTCGCTGACAAACACGAGGCAAGGCAAGGGCTAAGAAAGAGTGGGAAGGTTACCAGAAAGGCCGCATTGTGGCGACTCCGAGACTCCATGCCCAGCCGTGAGAGGGCAACAGTGGAACATTTAGAAGCATGGCCGTTCTGACTCGCAGGAAAGTTGCAGCAGCGGTCCCAGACTTTACCGTCGTGACCAGGCATGGTGCTTGTCGGACGCAGCCAGAGCATTTGTGTTGTCCACTACACCGCAACTCAATCAGATCCATTGATTACTGCCAGCGCCGCGCCATCCGCCAGTTCCGCGGTCGCCAACCGCCCGACGACACATCGTGCTTTTGTGCCGCGCTTGTGTTCAAACGCGCAGGATTTTCGCTGGCTGATTTGATTTTGGTAGGTGAGCGGCAAGCAATCACCAAATAAGCCAGGAATGCAGCATATCAATACGCGCCAAGCACTCCGTTTGAGCCCAGCATCACAGCAGCTAGCAGGCATGAGGCAAGGGCTAAGTAAGAGTTGGATGTCCACAGATGGGCGTATGTGGTGACCTCAAAAGGTAAGCCTGCGTACATAGACTCTGCATAGACTTTGGCCGCGGGCTGCACACGTCATTCCCAGCCATCGAATTCGTGGCAGTTCCGGTGGGCAGGAAAGTCGCAGCAGCGGTCCCAGACGTGACCGTCGTGACCAGGCATGGTGCTTGTCGGACGCAGCCAGAGCATTTGTGTTGTCCACTACACCGCAACTCAATCAGATCCATTGATTACTGCCAGCGACGCGCCATCCGCCAGTTCCGCGGTCGCCAACCGCCCGACGACACATCGTGCTTTTTCCGCGCTTGTGTTCAAACGCGCTGGATTTTCGCTGGCTGACT